TTTCTCTCTCTCTTTCGTGTGGTATTTGTTCTGGTTTTTTTAAAACGTTGGGTCTTTGTTTCAGCTTTTGTTGTTTCTGTGAGTTCTGGTTCGACTTTGTGTCTTTGTTCCTGTTTCCGTTTATGGCTATTTAAAGGGGAAGAAAAAACCCTAATCGCGTGTGGAAATAATGCTAGGCGGTGATTGTGGATGGTCCTTTGACTACTGACTTGGGGTGTCGTAATGTCCGTTTTATCCCTGGGAGATTTCTATTTTATTTTTCCCTCTTTTGCAAGGAGATGGGGTCAAAGAACTCTCCTAAAATAATGGTACGAGTCTTCCGATTTGGAGTATTTTTACTTATACCCCGCACGATCTCCTGGCAACATCCATTGGTGGGAGCGTGTGCTTTTTTTTCATGTCAGGATACGATGTTTTAAATAAATATGTATTTTATTTGCCTTTTTTATCAATCTCCTACCCATGACGATGCATTAGAATAAAAAAAATATTTTTAAAAATAATATTTATCTCTTTTCTAAACAAGTATTTAATTTAGAATTATGAAAAGAGCCGAGAAATTATAAAATTAAATTCAGCTCCGTTTATTTATAGAATTGAACTTAAATCAATGATCAATTATCTAATCCGCGGGATGGAATTAATCATTAATTTCATGCTGTATAAAAAATTGAATTATTTTTTTTATTAAAATAGGAGGAAGAGCATCTTTTGAAGAGGGGCACCGTCGTCGGGAAAATACTGGCAAGAGGGACTACTGTGTGGAGGAAAGAAGCTAGATATTTAGTTTGTGGAGGTCAAACACGTTAAGGATGTGACTGGGAAGGGGAATCGTGGCAGTGTTTGGAGAGTGTTTTTGACTCTCTTCTCTTTCCTTTTCAGACTTTTATTGCCAGTGAACTACTCAAACCTCCATTTTTTCTTAGCTCGGAAGATTTCAAATGGGTCCCGTGCCGACCGGCTCGAGCGCACCTTCCTCGAAGTTACCGTTGTTGACAACGTGTTTCTGTTTGGCGACCGTTACGAGTGTCTCGTTAGGTGTCATTTAATAAATTAAAAACGTCATACTTTTCATTTTCATCCTTTATAGACTCACCAACGTCACATCTCCACCCTATACATCAATAGTTTGCAGTATCATCCCTTTGACTTGTTTTTATAATCAAATTCGCAGCAAATAAAGGATTCGATTGTAAAGAAAAACACAATACAGCTCTGGCGTGAAAAAACGTGTTCTCGTTGGACAATCACCCCGCCAGTCTAGATGCCTTCCCGCTCGGTATTGAGGTTTTCTCGGGCTCCTCTCTCCTAAGCTCGACAGCCACCTAGAAATAAATGAAAACCTCTGGTTGTACTATCAGAAGGATTACTCCCATGGGGTGTTCAAAATGAACTATATAAAAAACCTCAGTGACGCCCTGCGGATATTTCAAACAAGGAGAAAGAGCGATAACTTTTTTAAGAGATATCCATGTTGCATGACTTGTACAAAAAATATCTATCATCTCTTCAGTTAGAAAACAATTTTTAATTACAAATAAATTAAAATAATATTTATTTACTTTTAATTTTAACACTCCATAATTATCCAAAAACATCTAGAATAATGCACAAGACAAAAGACAAAATGATTGTCTTGACATATTGTTTGAATACAGTGAACATTACAAGATAAACTTGTATATTTTTAAAAAATAATTAAATATTGTTTTTTTATTGTGATTTATATTAAATATTAAAATTAATAATATTATAATAAATCTAGTTATAAAACAAGTACTAACTAGTGGCATGACATGAAACAAAAATCAACCCAGGACATGGACTAGTCCGAATTTAAAAAACATTAGAGGAAGAATTAACTTAACATAACCCTTCTAAAATTCAAAGTGGAACAAAACACTAATCAAAAGTCCATTGAGTTTTTTTTTTAAAAAAATCTAAACATGATTGTTTTGATTATTTTTAAAAGAATTTATTGGTTAATCCTCCTAATTACTGACTTCAATCTTGTCTTGGATTGACTTGCAAGTTGGTTTTATAACCATGATAATAATTATTTTTTATCAATATGTTCACTTGGGTTAACCCGTGTTGATTCTCACAACCCTTGACCCAGGACTTGCCTCGATCGACACTCAAGTCAGGTTTAAAAACTATTTAATAATAATTTTTATTCTTATATTAGCTTGAGTTAACTTTGGTTGATTTTCCTGATGAATAAATTGAATCTTTCCCTGGTTGATCATCAAATTAAATTTTAAAATTATAACAATAATTATTTTTATTTTTATGTTGAATAGATCACTCATGGCCTTGTATCAAGCCAACTATTAGATTAGATTTAAAAATTATAATAATAACTATTTTTATTACTTTGACTTAAATTAACCTAACTTATAACCTAGATCTCAACCAATGACCTAGTTTTTGTTCCAAATTGATTTCTAAATTAATTTTTAAAATTATGATAATAATTATTTTTATTATCGCAGGTCTCAGTTAGACAATTTTAAAATAAATTTTTTACAAGGATATTTCACAAATAAGAATAATAAATACTGTCTCTGAAAATATGTCTTCCTTGCACTTCTTCTTCTAAAAATATAAAAATTTACTTTAAAATTGTTAAAAAAATATATATTTATCTATTTATATCTCTTTAATTAAATATATTTATGTTTTTGTTATTTTTATCTCTCTTATTCCAAAATAATACTCAAATATTACTTTGATAAATATCAATTTGATATTATTTTTTAAATGATAAATATCAATTTGATATTATTTTTTTAAAAAAAGTTAACTAATTTTTTTAAAAAAGAGTTTGAAATCTATAAAAAAAATTAATTAATTTTTTTTAAAAAAAGTTTGAAATCTATAAAAAAAAACGCTCACACATACGTACTTGTAGGTGCCCGGTCAGTGGGCTCTTGATGGAATGTTGACGTCGAATCACAGCTCTATCTCAATTCTGAAGCGATGGGCCAATTCGTAACGAGCATTGCAACTTTACATCCCAGACTCAAATGCTTCTGTTTTCTACCCTCGTAGATAAGGCCCCCCAGCTCCCTCTGGGAGGATCTAGTGAACTGTTGGTACTTTAGTCCACCCAACACAAATGAAGCCGCCACCTCCACTGGATCGGTGGTTGCCTGGTGGTGGTCTTTCAGCTTCTCTCTGTCCTGAATTCATCGTATTTGTCTCATTCTTCTTCAACGCTTTAATTTAGATAAAACGGAAAGATACGAGAACGATTATATCTCAACAAGTATAGTTTTCGTCAACCCAACACAAATTATTTATTTAAATATTATAAATCTTAAAATTTATATATTTATATCATTATTAATTTCAAAATTTAAAAGGAATCAAATTACGTTTAAGCTAATCCAAATACCCATTAAATAATTCAAAAGGGATTGTGTTATTATTCACAAAAATATATAAATATTTCCTAATATGATACGGATTTGACCATTCAAAAGGAATCTCTTATTTGCTTAGGTTGATTCAAGAATCCGCTGGCTTGAAACCATATCTATCAACGCAAACAGGACATCAACCTTTAAGAAATCCAGTTCTCTGCCAGATTTCATTTGACCTGTTTAACCCGCCATAGCTGGGTCCCAACTGATGGTCAAGCAATTAGACCTTTTAAAAATATCACAAAACATTGCCGTTTCAAAGAGTTCCCATCTTTCCTTTCTTTTCTTGAGTCCCATCGAAAATCAACCCTGATGTCTCATCCCCAGCTCAATTATTCTTTCAAGATCCAACAGAGAAGGATCGGGCCAGCCACCGCATAATCTTCTTCCCTGTTGGCAGCCATGGCCACCAATGAAATTCCTGATCTAGCTACACCCGGTAGTCCATTCTCTCTAGTTAAGTCAAATGCACTACTTTTACTTTTGCTTCTTTTTCTATCTTGGCCATTAGTAATTGATTAGATTGATAATTTTATTTTTTTATCAGTAAAATTATTTATTTAAATATAGAATAAAAATCCCGATGCTTATGCGTTTGGGTCTTTTTAATTTTCTTAAATAAAAATTAAAATCAACAGAATTCTCTTGCAAGATTTTTTTTAATATTTACGTTGATTTTGTTGATATTTATATATATTAAATATTAATTAAAAAAAACTGGTGGCAATTGTGCGAACCGGTTACTTTCTTAAACGCAATTGGACAGTGTGCCCCTCACCCGGAAATTTATTTTTCTTTTTCCTATTCCCCCCTCACAGCCGGGAATGCTGGCAAAAAGTTCAGTTCCTCGGTTCTAACGGAATGCTTTAATTTAAGTTAATCTGCTTTTGGATCTGAATTGTAAATGCTTTAATTTACTAAACAGAACCTCTACGGTTTATTATCATGTCATTCTGCAGATTAGGGTGTTTATCGGTGGCCATAAATCGCTCTACATTCTTCAGAGAAACGTTGATGGGACTGCAGTTCTACTTGCTTAATATTAACCTCCCATGTGATCGTGTTAGGGTAATCAAAAGCGTTGCGATTTGAAATTTGGAGGCATCGTCGATGATCAGAGCTTAAATGTTTTCTAGATCCAGCTTTTAGGATAACTAAACCCTAATGTTCTCCCTCGAGAAGCTTGTGTTAAGTTAATCTGCCTGGATCTGAATTGTAAATACTTCAATTTACCAAACCGAACCTCTACGGTTTATAATCATGTCACGCTACAGATTAGGATGTTTATCGTTCGCCATAAGTCGCTCTGCCTTCTGCAGCGAAGCGTTTGAAGGGACAGCAGTTAATATTATCCTCCCATATGATTGTGTTAGGGTAAGTAATCAAAAGTACTGCGATATGTAATTTGTGGGCACCATCGACGATCATAGCTTAATCTTTTCTGGATTCATCTTTTGGGATAACTACCAGCAACATGGAAGATCCTCATTGCACCATGTAGTTTCATGACCACCTTGTCTTCTATAACGAGCAAAGAATCTTGAGAAGGCATCAGGCCAATTCCAAGGTTTCAGAAATGAAAATCCAGGTTATATATAATGTATGCTGATTCAGCTTTTCATGACTACTGACAACTTTGGAAACTCAAAATCCTTATAAACTGTAGCGGCCGCTTTTTCACCAGTTCTACCGAAGGAAGCGAAAATCACAATAACACTTCGGAAAAGAAAGAGCAACCCGAATAGAAAGCAGGAAGCTCGTCCACACACCAAGCCACCTACCCTTCTTGAGTAGCTAACTGGACAGAAAAATAGCATCTAAAATCAACTGTGGCCACGTTCAGCATCAGAGACCAGATACCAGATTTCATATCGTCCTAATGTAGAAATAATTCCCAAGTGACGCACCACAATCGTTAGATATCTCCCTGATTGATGAATTGCTGATAATTGAGATGGAAGCAACCGAAGAGATCATTCAAAGCTTTCTCCAGATCTTAGAGCATTCTTGATTTCTTATAACAATTCTTGAACTACGTAAAAACCAGCATAGAGACTACAAATCGAAGACCTACCAGATCTTAGAGCATTCTTGATTTCTTAAAACACTTTAGGCAATTCTTGAACTACGTAAAAACCAGCACAGAGACTACAAATCGAAGACCAAATTCCTCTCCATTCCACAAAAACGACACCTTAAACTGACGAGCACTAGGGTAGAGGAATCTAAACACATGGAATAGAACTTCCAAACATCCGTTTGGTAGCAATTTAACCAATCTTGAGATTCGGAATCATCATAAGAACGGTTCTAACCTAGCAGAAAACAAACACCCGTTATTCTGTTTGATTTCAAGCAAGCAAATTGATTAATTCATGCTCCTCTGCGATTATTTGAGGACGTCCATAAAGATGAAAACAATCCTTCGATGAATCTTCAATTTTCTTTTGACCGAAAAATGGTTCAAACCAACATTTTAATTTTTATTTAATTGAGGATAGTGGCACCAATTGACTGCAAATAGATTCAAAAGTAAGATAACATTGGAATATTAGAATGTAGTTCCCCGACGTCCAAATGCTGCAAATAGATTCAAAAGTAAGATAACATCGAATAATGTAGTTCCCCGACGTCCAAATACAACACAGAGCGCCGCTCTGGATAGCGAGGGGAACAATTTATTTAGGCTTCACTAACAAAAGCATAAGCTAATCAACTTAGTTTTAGCTTTTATAAAGTATTGATGTGAAGCCTCAGATATTAAGTAAAACATAAACCAAAAAAATAAGTTGCAAAAAAAGTAAAGTAAAGCATTAATAAGAACTCAGTCCCTTAGATGTTCATAAAGAGTTGCGATCATTGCCGCAAGTCATTACAGGTCTGTATTGACTCATCACTGTTCCTTTAATGCTATGAACTTATATTTTTTGAAGAAAAACAGAAGAAATTGAAAAATGAAATGTAGTTGCCCCAGGTGTACTCCCAAAGCAACAAAATGAAGGGCTGAGGGAGATAAATTTAAAGAAGCAACACAAGCACTTTTGCTTCAAGGGAACGAGTCATACGGGAATTGACAATCCACGCTGACCAGATAGTGAAGCCTTCTCTTATTCATAATCATAAAAGGAGTAAAAAAGAATCCCTTATGGATTTGGAAAAATACAAAGAAAAGACCCAGGATTAATTTTGAAGTAAAGATCTTGGCTTTGATTGCCCTAAGCTAAAAGAAGGTGAAGAACACAAACCCTAATGAGCAGCTGCTGTAGAAATTCACTGACGCTATACGAAGACTGCGAAACCTTGCTTTATAGAGCGAGATGAAGACATGCTATGAGGGACCGTTCTTCTGCGGATTCCTTAAATAAGTGGTTCGAGGGTTTACCCTAATTGCTTTAGGAAAGTACTGAATTGACCTTAGTAAATGGGCTTTGAAGTTTTAAGATGTTTATTGGTTATTCGATCATGGGCTTTTCTTGTAAAAAAAGGCCCGGGTTTTCCATTTAAGGGACTGTTTGGCATGTGTGTTTGGTACGGAGGTTTGCTCTAAATTCAGTTTTAGACGGGACATTTTTACTGTTCTCAGCTCTGAATTTGTGTGGATCACTGAGGGCAGCCAGTAGCAGTAATTCAAGAAATGGGCTTTACGTTATTTGCTTGTATCAATTGGGCTTTATGTTCGAGTACGTCAGAACCTCTCCACCTTCATCAGCATCTACGAACTTTGAGGCTCGAAAATTCTGTTCGCCCTTCTCTTTTCTTTTTTTAATGAAAAATACTGGAATAATCCGTTTTCTTATATTTTAATAGATTTTTATAGACAAAGATTTACTGGACACTTTGCGTGTATTTCTTTTTCACTCAAATAGAAATAGAAGCTCTTTTTCTATATATTTTTTTTGTTTTCTTTTACATCTATTGATCATTAGGGATTATAATGAGTATCTGCAGATTAGATTTGTTTAATATTCTTGCTTTACTCATTATTTATTATTTATTAGATAAAAATTTTAGATATTCATAAATTATTTATCAAGAGTTTTGGCATCTGATTATTATTTATTATTAAATAAAAAATTGAATAATTAATATATATGGGTGTGTGTGTGTATCATATTATATTAAAAAATCTAAATATTCACCAAATATATCTATATAATACAAATATATATTTGGGGTTGGATTTAATGAGTTTCATTTGATGATATTTATATTATACCTATTATTTATTAAATAAAATAAATATCTAAAAAATATTCTATTATTCATGTTGATTAGGTTTAGATTAATTTATCATCTTTACTGATGAGGCTTTTTGCATGGATCATTTTAGGGTCGTTATGCTAAAGTTGGGCTTGACGTTATTTTAAATGCTGCGAGATTCAAGAGCAAAGAACAAGGAGAGCGGGCGAGTTCCAATCAACTATTGAGGCAAAAATACAAAAAGAAAAGAAAAGAAAAGCATTGCTTATCCTTCTTCATCATGTATAATTATTTTTGGTTTAATTTGATTTTTATCTATAAAAATAATAAAGTTAAAATTTTATAAAATATATAAAAATACAAAATCGATTCTAATCAATCACTTTCAATTCGGTTCGATTCTTTTAAATTAAAAACCAAAACTCAACCGCCTGATTTTAATCCGGTTCAATTAAAAACCAAAACTCAACCGCCTGGTTTTAATCCGGTTCAGTTTGATTTAGTTATTTTATATTAAAAAAAAAAATAATATTATTTTTTTTTTTAATATAAAATAACCAAACCAAATTGAACCGGATTAAAACCAGGCGGTTGAGTTTGGTTTTTTAATTAAAAACTTATCAGGCCGAAACCAAACTGAACATAATTTTTTTAAAACATTCTAATTTGTTTAATTTTTTTTTCATGGTTCATATTTTTGTTGTTTTCTCAATTTAATCTATTTATCAATTTTTTTTGTTTACCCTTATTTTTGATACACAGATGAAAAGGTATTTTAGAATTCTAAAACAATTTTGTGAGTATTAGAAAAATAATATAGTTTGACATAAAAGAAATTGGGAATAATGGTTATTTCAAAATTATATTTTTTTTTTATTTTACAAAAATTCAATAACTAAGAAATAAAATTCAAGATCTAATGGTGAGACGATAACATATCAATCAGAACATGTCAGAGTTTTGTTTTTAATATATTCAATGTTATTAAAAATATCTTAATGAAATAATTATAACCAAACCTTGAATGACCAGTAAACATCATGATTTGTTAGAAATTTTGTTATAGGTTGATTTAGGATTAATTAAAATATTGTTTTATGTTTTTCTATTATGTATTTCAAATTGTTTTATTAAAATCTTTGTAATGGTATCTAGTGTATCAAAAACAAAGTATAGATGTGTGCCTCTTGTCCTTTTTTTTTCCTTGTTTTTTTTTTTCTCATTTTTCTTCAATGATAAATCATTTTAATCTTCTAATTTTTTTATTTTTTTTTATCTTTAATCTTATCTTTTAGTTATTAAATTTTATACTAAAAATTTATTAATTTTTACTTAGGATAATAAATTTTTAAAATTCTAATGTAATTTCATGAAAGTTTCTAAAAAAATAACACAATTATAGAAAAAAAATATAGTTGGAATACAATTGTTATTGGAAATATAAGTTGTTCTAAAAGCCATGCATCTCTTAATTTAATCAACATTCATAAAAGTTAACCTAAAAAATTATAAATATCTAATAGCTATAAAATAAAATTCAAGATGCAATTATATAAAAAAAAACATTGGGTCTCCTAGGTTATTTTGGAGCCCTGTTTTAAACACATTTAGTATTATTGAAAAGATCTTCATGAAATAATTTTAGCTACATTTTAAAAAACTACTAAACATGATTTTGATTTATTATAAATTTTGTATAGGGTTAATTTATGGTTAATTACAAATTTATTTTGTGTTTTTTCAATATATACTTAGAATTATCTTGTTAAGATTTTTTTAATCATATCACTCATGTAAAAAACAGAATTCAAATGTATTCTCGACTCATTGCTTCTTTTATTTTTTTTATTTCTCTTTCCTGTTACATTACTCTCGTCTCTTAGTTGTTTTTAGTCATTAAATCTAAAATTTCATCTTTTTGGTTATTGATTTTTTTTTAAATTTCATCTTTTTGGTTATTGATTTTTTAAAAAAAATTATTAATTTTTGTTTAGGTTAATTAATTTCTTTATTTTTTGAATTATTTTCTATACAACAACTATTTGAAATAGCATTTATATAAAAAATATTTTAAAAATTAACTATAATTATACTTCAAAACAGAGATAATTCTTAGTGATTTTTTATTTTTATTTTTTCAGAGCACTGCATTCTGTTTACCTGTTCCCATGATCCATTTCCTTGTGGATTGATTCTGTATACGAGGACTGACCACTGTAACCTGGGCCTCTACTCGGACAATGTGCTAATTAATGGCATCTCAAAGGCTACTGTGGCAGAGGCCTCGAGGACCAGCGTTCTTCTCCAATTCAAATAGCGATGAAAACAGCATTTTATTCTTCTCTTAGTCCTCCACGCTCTCCCGTACCATGGTAAAATTATGTTTTTTTTTAAAAAAAAAGTTAATTAAATTTATTTTATAAATTAATATTTTCAAAAAAAAATTTGATGTACAAATATTAAAAATAAATTTTAATAAATAAAAAAAATATTATTCTAATATAATTTCCAGTAATATATTTTCCAGTAAAAAGTATATTAAAAATCACCCATCGTCAAAGTATTTGTTACTGTTTATCCTGCAATATATATATATATATATATATATATATATATATATATTTACCAGTTAATTTTTTTTTTAATCAAATTCTTTTATGTTATATTAGTATAGTTTTACACGTTAAAGTATTTCTTTCTTTCTTTACATGCTTTCGCACATGTACAATTTAAGCATTGTTTTAAAAACTGTTTTTACAAGATATAAATTTTATCATGCTTAAAATAATTAGAATAACAACGACAAAAGTAAACAAATAAAGAGTGAATCGGAGCCCAGTGATTCGGAAAAAAAAGCATATCAAATTACATTCTGGTCCCTAAAGTTTTACTCTATGCAATTAGGTGGTCCCTGGACTTAAAATTCAAGTCCCAGATTTTAATTTTTCACCTCTCAGTTTTTGAAAGTTGAGAGATTATATAGGAAAAAAAGAGAAGGGTGAGAGGTTGGCTGGCTAATATTCATATCAATGTTCCAAATACGTGTAAGTTTCAGTGATAAAATATTTTTTTACAGGATAATTTCGGGAACTATCCATGGGGATTCAGCAACTCGGAGCCTATATAAAAGAATATCAAGTCAATTTAAAAAATAAATTCAATAACGGGGACCATGAGCAAAATACGTGTATGAACAGGCCATTTATTCAATAATTGAAGTAATTTTCTTTTCAAAACCTCGAGAGAAAAATCAAAACTTATTTTGGCATCAGCAATTACCTCATCACATCCTTGATAAGACTATGCTTGGGATATAATTGTAGTTTCATGTCCTAAGTGGGCTCTTCTATTCCTTGGTGGACAAGTACTGCAAGAAATT